CTTTAGGAAACATGGATTTTTATTCTCCTAATGGTAGACCCAAGTTTGTGTCTGAATAAGGAAGCAGACAGTTCATTAATACAGTTACTCACCTGGAACTATGGGAATATTGAATGTTTTTCTGGGTGCTACTTCAGAGGCTGGATATGTTTTTATATAATAAATTGTGCAAATTTGTGCTTTCTTGTGAGCTTAGGTTCCATCATTGTGACCTCTATAATCAACTTAATTGGTAAGGTCTCTTCCAGCAAAGGCAGTGACACTGGTTTGCCACAAATGTATTCATAACTTGGTGGCAGCATATTCATATTGACCTTTATCCACAGCAGACTGCAAATACTTCCTTCACTCAATGAAGAATAATTTTTAAGAGCTAAAACTGAACAAGGGAAGCAGGCTTTTGCAGCAACTGCTCCAATCAGGTGAAATAAGATACCTGGCTCCTAAAACAAATATTTGTATCTTGTTTTAAGACATTTTTGAGCTTTTATCTTAGGAAGCCTTGCCACCGTAAAAAGAAATGAAATTGTACCTGTTCAATGTTGTCTGCTAGTTGAGACTGAGTAGCCTACCTTGTATTTTTGTACGCTAGTATAATGACTTATTCCCATGGACTCTCATTAAAATTATTATTATTATTATTTATTTGTATTACTGTAATGTCTAGGAGCCCTAGTCAGGGGCCAGGACTCCTTTGGATTAGGAGCTGTGCAAACACAGATGCGGACAAAATGATGGTCCATGACCCAAAGAACTTACAATCTATGTAGTGTGACCAGACGTCTCAATATTATTGGGACCGTCCCAATATTTGCCTTATATATGCAACTATCTTCTACCCCTCCTTCTCCCCCCCAAAAAGTGCCCCGATTTTCACACTTGCTATCTGGTCACTCTAAATCTATGTATAAGACAAGAGGCAACAAATGGATACAGACAGATGGGGTGGAACAAAGTAGCAATGAGACAATATTGGGCAGCCTGCTAGGCTGTGACCTCAGTGTACCAGCTGTCTAACCATTATCAAATTTTTTGTAGGCATCACAGAAAAGTTAAGTTTTAAGGAGGGATTTGAAAGAGGATAATGAGGTAGCTGTGCAGATGTTTATGGGGAGCTCTTCTCAAGTGTGAGGGGAAAGTACAAATGTACTTGTTAAATTTTCAAACAAGCGGGTGATGGGAGCTAGCATCAATGGCCAATCGGAAGGTGTCAGGTTCCCTCCCCTCTCTGAACTCTAGGGTACAGATGTGGGTACCCGCATGAAAGACTTCCTAAGCTTATTTCAACCAGCTTAGGTTAAAAACTTCCCCAAGACACAAATTCTTCCTTGTCCTTGGATGGTATTGCTGCCACCACCAAGTGAGTTAGACAAAGATTTAGGAAAAGGACCACTTGGAGTTCCTGTTTCTGCAAAATATCCCCCAAACCCCTTCACCCCTTTTCCGGGGGAGACTTGAGAGTAAACAAGGTGAGCACAGACCAGACCCTTGGGTTTTTACAGATTCTTAAACACAGAACGTTATTATAAAGAAAAAAAGTAAAAGAAGCACCTCTGTAAAATCAGGATAGAAGGTACTTTTACAGGGTAATACGATTTAAAACACAGAGGATTCCCCTCTAGGCAGAACTTTAAAGTTACAAAAAACAGGAATAAACCTTCCTCTTAGCATAGGGAAAATTCAAAAGCTAAAACAAAAGATAGTCTAACACATTTCCTTACTATGTCTTACTATTTCTGTAATTTTAGATGTATTATTCAGTAGGAGCTGGATTATTTGCTTAGTCTCTCTCTTTGTCTAGGAGAGAACAACAAAGAGCACAAACAAAAACCTTCCCCCCCCCTCCACTCCCCAGATTTGAAAGTATCTTCTTTCCCCATTGGTCCTTCTGGTCAGGTGCCAACTAGGTTAATGGAACGGATTAACCCTTTACAGGTAAAGGAGGGATTTTATGCTAACCGTAGCTGTATGTTTATGACAGAGGGGAAAATTGACATTTCAGTAGAGAATGAGAGATGATAGGTAGGGTGGGGATAGGCCTGTGAAGAGCCTTTAAAGTGAATACTAACAGCTGATTGTAATGGGTTCCCCCTAACTTCAGATACAAAAATGATAATGCATCCAAATAGGATAATCATATTCAGTAAATCATAACCTTTTCAATGATATGTCACATGCCTTAGCTTGCACAAAATACATCATAATTATGCCATACTCATGTCATAATAATATTAGTATGAAGAATATGGGGCGTAATGTCCCACTTATGTTTGATACAATAGAATGATCTTTGCAGCAGCATTCTGAATGGGTGTGTGTGTGGGGGGGGATTGCATTTATCAGGGCCAGAGAAAAGGATTTTATTTGTTTGTTTGTTTGTTTGTTTGTTTGCATCAAGATGCAAGATGATGAGAGCCTGGATGACCGTTTTAGTGATGAAGAGGGATACGAGATGTTGTAACTCAGAGATATTATGCAGAAAGAATTTGCAAGATGTGAGGCCATAGAGAGAGCTCCATGTTGAAGATGATACCCAGGTTATGGGCATGAGTGGCAGGTAGGATGGTGGTATAATCCACAATGATCAAGAAAGGAGGGTGAGAGGGCTTGGGCTGGGGAGAAGATAAAGAGCTCTGTTTTAGCATGCGCTGATGGCTAAATATCAGAGAAAGGTTGACAATAAAAGATGTATTTCAACTCACTGAGAAAAAGTTTAAGTAAAATAGATATGTAATTTAGTGACCACAGCCTAAAGACTAAGATTTCTGTTAGAGGAAATACAAAAAGTTTCCAAAATACAACTGAATCTTATTCCTCAAGTCCACCTACTTTGCCTACCATTCTTTCATTGTTGTAAGGAGCATTGAACCAATTGTTAGTTAATCAAAGCAGACATGTAATATTATGATATTCATATCATATACTCTTCATGATCTTTTTAGGATAGGGAATGGGTCAAAATAGAGTAGACTGATGCATGCTTTGTCAAATCATACCTTTAATAATTTGCAGGACTATGTCCAGAATTATAATAGCACAGTAGAAACTCAGAGTCACAAACACCTTGGGAATGGAGGTTGTTCGTAACTCTGAACAAAACGTTATGGTTGTTCTTTCAAAAGTTTACAACTGAACGTTGACTTAATACAGCTTTGAAACTTTCCTATACAGGAGAAAAATGCTGCTTTCCTTTTTTGTTTTTTAAGTAGTTTATGGTTAACACAGTACTGCACTGTATCTTTTTTTTTTTTGTCTCTGCTGCTGTCTGATTGTGTACTTGAGGGCCCAATGAGATGTGTGGTTGACTAGTCAGTTTGTAAATCTGGTGTTTGTACCTCTGAGGTTCTACTGCAGTAGGGATTTAACGAAACTGAACAAACAAAAAACCTCAAAGTTTTGGAAGGGATCTAAACCCTCATGCTTCAGGGTACACACCAACCTCTAACTAAAGGGGCTTAGGAAGAAACTTTCCCTGTGATTAGGTTATTCCATAGCTGCTTTTAGCAGCGTTTCTGAGGGCCACCATCAGATCCCGGACACTGGACTAGGTGAATCATCGTTTAGTCTGACATGGTATGCATGGGCAGTGGGTATCAAAGGCTGGGGAAGGCTGTGCCTTCTCTGACACCCAGGGGTGGCCCCGCCAATTGCTCCGCCCCCAGCCCCCTCCTGCTTCCCGCTCTGGCCCCCTCTTCCCAGTTCCCCTATGCAGTGGCCCCACCGCGGGCCGGGGCTGGCGCTGCGCGTGCCGCCTACCCAGCCAGCGCTCTGGAGCTGGGGCCGCGCCCCCCACCCTCCCGGCACGCCGGGGCTGGGGCCACTCCAGGGCCGGGGGACGCTAGCCTCGGGCAGTGGCCGGTGTCCACGGTGCGGGGCTCTGGGCTGCAGCAGCGGGGAGGGGGCGCTCAGCTGGAAGGGGCGGGGCGGGGCGGGGCTAGCCTCCCCCAGCAGCCAGGGGCGCACGGGCTGCCCAGGATGATCGGGCGATTTCTAGATTCCTAGCAATACTTGAGAGACAAGAGGGCTGAGGCCATCGCTTTTATTGGACCATCTTCTGCCGGTGAGAGAGACGCGCTTCCCAGCCGCAGAAGCGCCTCTCTCTCTGCCACAGAAGTTGGCCCAGTCCCAGATGTTGCCCCGCGGGCGCTGGCCGGTCCTACCCCCGGCTACGGCGAAACGACCGAGCTCGCTCACTGGCTCCTTGAGCGACCGGTGCGGATCGGCGGGGCAGGGGGCATCCCCCTCTCCAGGGCGCACCGCGCTCCTGGGCGCTCGCCCGAGCCGCCCTCCCCAGAACCCTTCCCAGGGGCGGCCGCCGGCAGACCCGCGCCCCGCCCGCTCCGCCCAGGAGGCTGCCCCGGCGCGCCTGCGTGGGCTGCTCCGCTGCCGGGACGCGGCGGCGGCGGCGGCAGTGGCCGGGGGGGGCCCGCGTCCGTAGGGGGGGGCCCGCGTCCGTAGGGGGGGGCGAGGCTTCCGCGGGAGTCCGGCTCAGCTTGTAGCTCCCGCCTCCAGGACCGCGCGGAGCCGAGCCGGGCCCTCCCATGCCCCTTCCCCTGACGCAGCGCCTCGCCCTGCGGGGTGAGTAACAGGCTCTTTCTTCTTTATTGTTGGTCCTGGCAGCCCTCCTGGGGTTCAGTGACTCTCCCTCGTGCCGCGCTTCCCCCGCCTGCTGTGTCTGACCGTGCTTGGGTCGGAGGCAGTGGACGGGCGCGCAGAACAGTGCGTGGGGGTCGCTGAACGTACAACACATGCAGGTTGTAACTGGCAGCCACTCAGCGTAGAGACGCGCGTGCTCTTCAGCGTGTAACGCACATGCACATTATTGCACGGGAGTTGCTGCACTTGCCAGCTACATGGAGAGAGTGTGGGAGTCATTGAAGGTGCTGTGTGTGCATGCACGCGTGCGGCTTATGCTGTGAGAACAGGCTGGAGACATGCTCGTTATTGTATGTGGGTCATTGCACACGCTAAGTACATGGAAATTATTGCACGAGTTGTATGGTAGTGGCAGCTGCTGAGTTGAACTGATACCCTCCACCTCGACCCCTACTTTCTCCCTTTCAGTGTATTTGTGTCTGTCTTCACCGGTTGCACAAAGCGGAGCTGGCCGGAAAGACAAAAGGAGAGCTGACACACAAAGGCCAGCAGTTACTCTCCCAGATGGCGACACACGCAGAGACATATTTCACTAGCGGTATACTGATTATCATGTGTGTGCACTACATATGAGTAGGTTTGCATGTATTCTGTATATGTACTGTATGTCTCTGTGTATGCATGTAATCTGTGCGTGCAGTTACAGCTCCATTAGCTCTTTGTGCCTGTGTATGTACCAGGTGGATCTATGTGTATTGTAAGGACCCTGTTTGCTTTTCTCAAAAAGAAAAGGCGGACTTGTGGCTCCTTAGAGACTAACAAATTTATTTGCTTTTCTGTGTGCTGCATGTGTGCATCAGATGGGTGCCTAGAGAGAGTCGCGTTTCTGAATCTCTTTGTTTCCTGTGTCCTCTTCTTTTCCTTGTTTTGAGAAATACCGCTCATGATTTCCAAGTCTCCGTAGATTAGGAAGCTAGCCAGGCGAACTCGGTGTGGGATGCAGACAGTCTGCAGTGTCCCTGATATTTGTAATTGAATATTTATTCCAGTGTGTTTATTTTTAGTACTGAAAATAAAGGAGTTGGTATGTTGACCTTTTGCTGATGCATTTGGCTGTAAATAATAGGATCTCTCTTTGAATGAGGCACATGAATTTTATATATATATATATATATATATATATATATATATATAATATTACACATTCATCTTATACAAATATCTGTACTTTTGTTTTCACAGATAACATAAACTGAGTGTGTTCAAATGTCTTGCAGTTCTTCTATTTCAGTGGGAGCAATCCAGTAGGGGGTGGTTATGATTATGAAAATGGTTATAATTAGTTCCCTCAAAATAAAATGAATCTGAGTGAGTTGTAATTGAGAGGTTAATTATGAGACCACTACAAGAGAGAAGCTTTAAACTGGACAGAGTCAAGGGAATGGGTGTGGGGTGGGGGTGAGGGGGGTATACGATTGCTGGGAAAGGGTCTCAGATGTCCTGCTCTTATTGTTCAGGAGTGGAGAGGGAGTTTGGCAACAGAACCCTTCATGTCCTTTTCTAGTCTCGGGTCAGGGAGCTGCAGTTGGGAGCTAGTGCCGGGCAAAGCAGGACAAAAGCAGCACACTGACCTTCTGCTTGATCTCTCTGCGTTACAGATTGGCAGATTTAACATCAGGAGGTTTTAAACAGGATTCTGTGCCGACAGCCTCCCCGCTGCAGCCTGCGGATAGGAAGAGGCAAAGATGCAGATGACCAAGAGCTCTCTCTTGCCCAGGCTGGGCTGTACCTTACACCCTGGCACTTTTTCATTGTTAAACGTGGCCAGTTAATCCACGTGGGAAATGTTCCAGCAGAAGGATAGAGGCACCGTCCAAGCTGTTCATAGCTCGGCTGCTAGGATAGCTCCCTGAAAAGCTCTAAGAAGGATGGAGCCACAAAGGACACCGCTAGACATGTGCTCTTATACATTGATATGTGCCACGGTTAGTTGTGTGTTGGAGTCGGAGAAGTAAATCCACAGAGAATATGTTACACTTCCTTGGGTTTGCATGATGAAACGGCAACGGAGGTTCTAACTGAACAATACGATGTGTCCAATGTTTTTTTTTTTAACTTAACCCAAACTAGAGTTGCTGCCAGCATGGCGTCGAGGGCGATAAAGCAGCAGCACCCATTCTCCCCCAGAGAACAGCAACTGGAGGATCAAGCGGAGAGCTTCAGGTCCAAAAGTTTGCCGGCTCTGAACAGGTCTGCTCCTCAGATTACTGCAACACAAAGCACCCTCCTTGAGGCAGAACGGAGTTTCCTGCACAGTTTCCAAGAAAGGTCTGACCTGAGATGTGGCCTTGACACCGACAAATCAGCTCACAGTAACGGTGCTGGTGCTTCTGGGACTGTGTTTTCTTTCACAGCCTCCAGCTTTTCAGGGATCAGGAGTTTCACTGAGAGGACAGACTGTAATAACTTTGCTGGCACAAGCAAAGGTGTTTCCCCAGCTTCCACGTTGCTAGCTCTCCCAGGTAGAAAGTGTCTCAGCATGGTGCTGACAGATTCCCGTTTCTTCTTGGTGTGCATGTGCTTTCTGACCTTCATTCAGTCCTTAATGGTCTCTGGGTATCTGAGCAGTGTTATTACCACCATTGAAAGGAGGTACAGTTTGAAAAGCTCTGAGTCTGGGCTGCTGGTCAGCTGTTTTGATATTGGTAGTCTGGTGGTTGTGGTGTTCATCAGTTACTTTGGGGGGCGCGGACGGAGGCCGCTCTGGCTTGCCATAGGTGGGTTTTTCATTGCTCTTGGGGCTGCACTTTTTTCTTTACCTCATTTCATCTCTCCACCATATCAGATCCAAGAATTGAACTCTTCCCTCTCTAACGAGGGCTTGTGTGTGACTGGCAATAATACCGCCAAAGACCATTTGGAGTCACTGGCCTGTGTCAAGGACTCAGGTGGAAATGATCACTCCCTCTATGTAGCTTTATTCATTTGTGCACAAATTCTCATTGGCATGGGCTCCACACCCATCTATACCTTGGGACCAACCTACTTAGATGACAATGTCAAGAAAGAAAATGCATCACTGTACCTAGGTAAGGCATCTTAGTAAAAATAACTGTAAGCTTTTTAAAGGGACACCATTGGCTCAAAATCTAATCCTTTTCAAAAAATGAATTAAAGTTAGTTCCAGGTATTACACCTGCCCTGAGTTTCCCTGCTACTTTTTGTAGTGTAATGGTGACATTTTAAAATTTATTTTATTCTCTCCCCTGCTGTATTGACCAACTCTCTTATATATAATCAGTTAGTGTCACTTGTTTTTGAGAAACTGTGACACTGACTACACACACACGGTCTCAAATGTACAGTGGGTCTTTTTCTCTAATGTTTGTCAGTTATAGTAATTTTTGGGGTTATAAATAACAATTGTAGGTAACAGTTTTTCAGAACTAAATGTTATTTTACAGTTTACAGTGTTCCATAGAGATCTTTGATAATAATGAAGCCTTGTATTTCAAAACTTCAGCTAACATACGTTTACCATAGAATCATAACATTTTGTGAATACTGTGGAAGAGTTGTCATATTCGAATAACATACTTTATTTTCCTAACATTTATTTATCCTTTTTTAGAAATGTGTTTTGGCACTCATCACTAAATCATCTGAAAACTTTACATAATTTAAAAAACATTAGTAAAATAATGGGAAATAATCAACCTCCATGGAAACGTCACAAAATTAAACAGTCCCTCCCCCACATCTCAACTGTTAAATTGATCCTTAAATCAATCAAAAACGTGACCAGAAATGCATGTCAGGCTGTCCCCTGAAGTTCTCCAACCTTAGATTTTGGCGGACAACTGGTAGGAGATATTAGGTCACCCCCAGAGAACAGCCGGCACCTGGCCCTTGGTAGTTTAATCCTGAGAGTAATTCCAATGATGGAAGACAGGTGATCTTTCAGATAATTGGGTCACAGACCAGTAGGCTTTTAGAGATCAAGGCTAGCACTCCAAATGTGCTTATGGGGGAAGCAGTCCACTGGTTTCCATGTTTACAGTAGTATTTTGTGTTATCCTATTTTAAGCTTGCTTACATTATACTGTACTATTTTAAAGGAAAGTAGAGTCTCTGTGAGGGATTGAGAGGACTACTAAATGGTTTTGGATGCTCATCGTTACTGTTTTTGTAGAGTTATTGTCATTGACCTTAAGTTAAATTATTTTGCCCTCAAGTTAACCTTAAAAGCAATAGTTCCATGGAAAATAGGCATTCATGAATGAAACATGCTTAATGAAGTGAGAAGGTTTGCATGTAATTACTGTATTAAGCAGAAATATTAGATCACATGGGGAAGGCCCCAGGCTCACTATTTTTGTTCCTTTTGACCTATTCATCAGCAATCTGATTGTGCTCTGAACCATTTTTAAGCTAGTTCTCTAAGCGGTGTCTTTACAAAGCCCAAGGCATTTTGGGCAGTGCTGGTTTTCAAAAAAGACCTAATATGTTTTATCATAGTGAAATATTGAGTAGGCAACAGAGTACCTTTCCTTTCCCTCCTCCCCCCTGGTTAAGTGGTATTGATGTAGAAATGCAAAGTAGCATGGAGTGAGCTTTCTTAGTTTTTGGAAGGGAGGTAAGCAATCAGGTCAGGATAAGTAACTATAGATTGTAGTAGCAGAGAAAGGGATTTGAAACTTTCACGAAAAAGAGAGAGATTTCTGTGGCAAGCAGAAGGACAGTCTCTGAGTCCTGGGTGAAGAGGGAAGCAAGATCAGGATTCTGAAATTGTGTGTTTGTAGTGAAAGTTTTTCTGCTTGCCCAAGTGCTCTGAGTGGAGGACATTGAAATAAAACAAATACTTTGATTTTCATTGTATTAAAAGACTGTCTTTTAGATTAGCAAAGCAAAAGGGAGTTGGAGATGTATGAAGAAATGGATGTGAGCCTGGAGTTATAGGACTGATTTTGCTCTCACTTACCCTGACTGCAACATTATTGGCTTCAGATTCTTTGCTGCAGATGTACAACTCATAAAAAGATGTGTTTTATTTAGGTGCCTAACTTTAGGCACCCACATTTGAACCATTTAGCCTATGAATCCATCAGTGTAGGGATTATGGGGAGAAAAATGTCAATGAATACAATACAAAGACCTCTAAAATAGATTTGTTGTATATAAAAAATATCACAGCTTTATAGTCCAGTATCTCAGGAGCTTACAGGGCTATAAGCAAGTGTTGTTTTCCATTGGAAATCTGGGTATTGCCTCTCTTCAACAGTGTAAAGCTCTGTGGGATTGAATAATATATTGGACTTTTAAAATTGCCACTTGTTCAGGACTGAATGTTGCACATTTGGGGCTTAGATCAGTGATATTATGTTGGTAAACTTGATATTATATTTCATCTTTTGTGAAAACAGAAAACATTTATCTGTCGATTTAAACAAATAAGGCTATTTGAGACTTGCTCAGAGGATTGAACTCTTAGAAGTCCTGATGATGAGATGGATTAGTGGGCAGAGGGCAGGCAAGGTAGCTGATGGTGAAGAATAAATGCATTTGTCACATGGCTCTGCAACTTAGTCACGTGGGCATTACCCCCACATCTGTGGTATGTAATATTCAATTTTCAATTCAATGAGACTTCGTCAGGACAAGCTAAACAAATGTTAGCAAAGTATAAATGTGTGTGGGTTGTGTGCAAACAGAAAGGAAGGGATGGGGTTATGGGTGCTGAGAGACGTTCTGAAGAGAAAAAACAATGAGCTGATGCTTAGTAAAGCATATCTCAGTGAGGAGCATGTATTTTGTTTTTTTTTAAAAAAATCTTTCATATTTCAAAATATAAAGACATTGACATAGGTAATTGAACTTGTTCTGCTTCTGAGTATTTTGCTCTGAAAAATATTTCTTAATTGAGACTTTTTGTTTATAACCATACAACTTTAAAAAAGTTCTGCAAAACCTTAGAGCTTAAAACCTCTTACAACCCTTTAAGGCTTGCCCATTTTTACACTAATTGTAATTCTGTAAAGCCCCTGCAGATCATTAATCCTGATTCTACGAAAACTCACCGTATGGGGCTGTGGAAGCTATTTTATTTATTTTCTAAATTAATCCAGCTCACGGGTTGAGTGGCAATAGCATATCCTCTTCATGCAAGCTCAGGGTGGACAGCTGTTTTAACGTTCCTGGCTGGAAGTCCTGCTCTCAGAAAACACATTTGATGCTTATACATAGTCTCTTGGCTGCCTACACTTCAGCCCATCTGTCAGGATGGCACTGTGCCAATTTACAAGGTGGTATGTCATTTTTATTAAGACAAAGGTGCGAAGCAGTGATGTGCAAACTGCCCAAATATACACAGTGCTGTAAACTCTTCTTTTTTTCAAAAAAAAGTTTCTTTTCTGTAACAGCAATGCTGCACTGATTCCACATGCTACTTAACACCTGTTGACACTTTTGTGCCAACATATGAATAGTGAGAAAGTATAAGATGTGAAATTTGGAGGCCCTCATGTCTTTGAAAAAATCACTATCATGGCAGGCACCTGAGAAATATAAGAAGAGTCAAAGCAGCAGAATCCAAAACAGAAGCGGGCAATCAGTAGGTTATTTTTATTCAGTACTCCATTCTCTTCCTTGTAGGCTCTGTTATTATGAGACATATCTGCTTTCAGTGGTCTGATATATGCAAATTATCCACTAGTGGCCCATTTCTACTCACATTTATATCAATGGCAAAGTCCCATTGATCTCTATAAGAATTGGATTGGGCCTTAACTTTTTTTTTTGTACTCTTGGCACCATTCCTGCAAACTGACAAATTTTAAAACTGACTTACACGTTGAATAATTCTGACAATCCAGTGAAGGTGTTCTTGGATGCCTTAAAGAACCATGATTTATGCACTTGTGGCTCTTGATTATAATTTATCTCCTGAAAAGATGAGATATTGAGCATTTGATGGGAAGAGTGTTATTAGGCACTCATACCCATACCCCTCACGCTGTGTAAAGGCACTTAAGCTCACCTCTTCCCAAAATTCCCTCTTTGTTTCAGAGCACTTTATTATTTGTACTGGAAATATGTCATATTTTTTTGGTGGGGAGGAGTTTAAATAGCTCTCCTTCTACCTTCCTACCTATCTTAAATTCTCCCTGTTTTGAACCCAGGAAGTTTAATTATATATAATATAATCCAAACATAGAGAAAGCTCTTTGGCTAGATTGTGAGTTCCCTGGGGCAGGGACAGTTCTCTTATTTCTTGTTTGTACAGAACCTAGCACAATGGAGTCCTGACTGTTGATTGGGGCCCTAGGCACTACTGTATTAATAAATAATAATTCTGGAATGCAGTCTAATACTTACTGTTCTAACATTAAAAAACTTTTCTCTCTACATTATGGCACATCCGTTAGTGGGGATCCAGCATCCGTCGTCTTCTGTTAGCTTAATTTTCGTTTGACATTTGAAGTGGGATCACCAAAGCAAAAGCAGGGATCCCCTGCTAATTTCAGAACTAGGGTTGCCAACTTTCTGACTGCAGAAAACCTAACATCCTTGCCACGCCCCTGCCCTGCCACTTCTCTGAGGCCCCACCCCCATTCACTCCACTCCCCTCCCTCTTTTACTTGCTCTCCCCCACCCTCACCCATTTTTACCGGGTTGGGGCAGGGGGTTGGGGTTCGTGAGGGGATGAGGGCTCCGGCTGGGGGTGTGGGCTCTGAGATGGGGATGAGGATGAGGGGTTTGAGGTGTGGAGAGGGCTCAGGGCTGGGGCAGGGGGTTGGGATGTGGGGGGGTTGCGGGCTCTGGTTGGGAGTGCAGGCTCTGGTCTGGGGCCAGGGCTGAGGGGTTTGGGTTACTGGAGGGGGCTCTGGGCTCGGGCCGAGGGGTTCGGAATGCGGGAGGGCATGCAGGGTGCGGGCTCTGAGAAGGAGTTTGGGTGCCAGGAGGGAGCTCAGGGATGGGGCAGGGGTTGGGGTGCAGGATGTGAGCTCCGGGAGGGAGTTTGGGTGTGGGAGGCGGTAGGGGGTTGGGGTATGAGAGGGGGTTCGGAATACAGGCTCCGGGCACTGCTTAC